ATGATGTTTCAAAGATCAATTTGAAAAATCAAAGCCCAAAGGTGAGTCAATTAAACACAATTTTAAATAAAACTTCAAGAACATAACTTAAATGTAACATGCATGAATTCTCATGACTTCTAATGCTCCAAAGCATGATCCAAAGCAAGATTAAGCCCAAGAATAGGATGAATTCATGGACTATAACAAAAATGTGGACATGCATGTTGAAATTCATGAAGAACAACTCCAAAATCCAAGAATATGTGCATGCATGCATGAATTCACTCTCAAATCCAACTCTTTAAACCAATTCTAGACTTTAAACTCTAATATTCAATGAACCATGTAAGAATTAAACTTAAATGCACAATTGAAAGGGGAATCTCCTACCTTAAGTCTTGAATTCCAAGCCCAGAAGCTCAAATATGCAACTACTCTTCAATTCTTCCAATTCCAAGCAAAATCTCTAGATGAAATCAATCTCCTCCCTTACTCCCTCTCACTCACGGTTTAGGCAAAGAAAAGGCTGAGAATGGTGTATGAATCAAGTCTAAACAATGTATAAGAAAGTGGCCCACTCAAGGGCAATGATGTAATTAACTTGAACTAATGTAATTTAGCTCATTTAATCCAATTTAATCATACCAAATCAAATTTCAACTAAATTTATCATAAAATCAAATTAATTCTAATTAACACAAAACACTAATCTGTTTCGGATTCGGCCGTCCATAAGGCCTTCAATTAGCAGTTTAAAACATAAAACATGAACAGATCATTTTATGGCAAACAGATAAAAGCACAAAGATAATGCAATACATATGCAATTTAATTCCGAATTCCTTCTAAATTACTGTTAGGCATAAATAATCATGGTTTAGCATTAATCGGAGGTCGGGATTATTACAAAACTTTTGCACCAGTTGCTAGACTTGAAGCTATTAGAATGTTACTTGCTTTTGCGTGTTTTAAACATTTTAAATTATATCAAATGGATGGTAAATGTGCTTTTTTAAATGGGTACATTTCGGAGGAAGTCTATGTTGAACAACCTCCCGGTTTTGAAAATCATAAATGCCCGGATCATGTTTTCAAAGTTTCAGAAGTTTTATATGGCCTGAAACAAGCTCCTAGAGCTTGGTATGAAAGATTGAGTAATTTTTTACTTAACACAGGTTTTTGTAGAGGAAAAATTGATACAACACTTTTTTATAAAAATCAAAAAAGAAGTTATGCTAATTGTTCAAATTTATGTTGATGACATCAGTTTTGGTGCTACTAATGAAAATTTATGCAAAGAGTTTGCTAAAGATATGCAGGGTGAATTTGAAATGAGTATGATGGGGGAGTTAAATTACTTCACTGGTCTACAAATTAAACAAACTACTAATGAGATCCATTTAAATCAAACAAAATATATCAAGGATCTACTCAAAAGGTTTGAAATGGAATCATCACAGCCTGCAGCAACTCCAATGAGCACATCAATAAAAATCGACAAAGATGAGTAAGGTAAACCTGTAGATGAAAAGAAATATCGAGGTATGATTGGTTCTTTACTCTATCTTACTGCAAGTAGGCCCAACATAATGTTTAGTATTTGTATGTATGCACGTTTTCAATCTGCCTTGAAAGAGTCACACATCACCGCAGTCAAACGTATTTTCAGATATCTTGTCGGCACTCCAAATTTGAGATTATGGTATCCTAAAGGAGCCACCTTTGAACTTTTTGGTTACTCAGATGCCGACTTTGCGGGATGTAGACTTGACCGAAAAAGCACTAGTGGCACTTGTCATTTTCTTGGACACTCACTCACTTCTTGGTTTTGCAAAAAACAAAACTCAGTGGCTCTGTCAACTGCTGAAGCAGAATACATTGCAGCTACTGGGTGTTGTGCACAATTGCTTTGGATGAAACAACAACTTCAAGATTTTGGACTTCATTATGATCATATTCCTATAAAATATGACAACACAAGTGCCATTAACCTTTCAAAAAATCCTATTCAGCACTCACGCACTAAACACATTGAAATAAGACATCATTTTCTAAGAGATCATGTACTCAAAGGTGACATTGAACTCGAATTTGTGCCAACAAATCGTCAATTAGCTGACATTTTTACCAAGCTTCTAAATGAAGAATAATTTTGTTATATTTGAACTGAACTTGGTATGAATACTCCAATATAGTGTTTATATAAAAAAAAAATTATAAATAAATAATTTAATAATAATAAATAATAAAATAAAATGTTTCTAATAATAATTATAAATAAAATAATAATAATAATAATAATAATAATAATAATAATAATAATAAAATTATATACATATATTTTCTCTCTCTCACCTGCTCCGTCTCTATCTCTCACTCGCTCTCTCCTTTACTCTCTCTGTTTTTCTTTCTCTTGCTCTCTCGCTCTCCCCTTCTTCCTTATACCCTCAGCCGACAAATTAAAATTGATTAATTATATTATTTTGACAAAATTGATTGATTGGTTGTATTATCTTCAAAATTACGACTGATCACTATTCACTTTTTGACAAAATTACAATTGATTAATTATATTATTTTGACAAATTTGATATTGATTGGTTGTATTATTTTGACAAATTTGGTATTAATGGGTAGTCTTCTTTCGACAAAATTGATATGGAGTGGAAGGTTATATTTAATTTAAAATCTCTACAACATATACAGAAAAAGAGTATATATGATCAGATCTATTATAAATATTACTTAAAGGGATTTTGCTATATATGCAAATATTTGATTAGAATATTATATAGATTGCATATAATATAAATAGAATACATCACGTGAGCAATTAAATTTTTTACACTACATTGATTATATCATATTATAATAAAACAAGATGGAGCAAATCATTTGCTTGTTTGAAAGTTGTGAACTTTATATTAAATTGTGGCTCCATGTTTGAAAAAAAAAAACAAAAAAAAGGGAAAAGAAAAAATTAGTCTTACTTTTATCTTTTTAATTATTAACATTTGCTGACTATTTAAAATCAAGGAGCGTGCTTATGTAAGCCATGACATCAGGAGCGTACTTATATAAGCCATGACGTCAGGAGCGTGCTTATGTAAGCCATGACGTCAGCAAGGAGCGTCCTAACGGGTATATTTTTGTGTATAAATAGAAGTGTTATGTGTGGAGAAAAATCAAGAACTTGAAGAGAAAAATTTCTGTGTGTTCCAAAATTTCTGAGTATATTGTATTCTGCTCTTTTACTTTCAGATCTAAGTGTAGCCTTTGATCTTACACTTTTATGTGTACTTTTTGTGAGAGAATTATTGTAAAATAGGGTTTAAGTACCACTTATTTTTATTTATTATTCTTGTGAGAGATTTTGTAAAGGTGAGGCAGTGAGGCTCAATAGATAAGAGAAGTCCTGTGCCAAATCCACAAGCTTGGTGGTGTATTTATTTAATTGATAGTAAAGAAATTCTCAAGGAGGTTCCTTGGGGAGTGGACATAAGCCTGGCGTGCCGAACCACTATAAATCTCAGTGTTTGATTTTCTCTCCCTATCTCTCTTATTTTTATATTGATAATTATTATTCTGTTTTTTTTATTTATTAAAATTATGAATATTGTGTTAATTTTAATATTGTGAAATTTTTAATAACCCAATTCACCCCCCTCTTGGGTTGCTTACCTGGGATAACAATGTCTTCATCCCCCCTTGGCGATGCAGCTCCGGACCTAATAGGTTGGTCGATTATTCCCAAGTCCATCGTCACATTGCCAGGCTGGGGTACAATTCTGACTAAAGGTTCTATGGACGAGCGCGCAAGTTCCGCGTCGCCAACATCACTCTGTTGTGCTATTTCTGTTGAGCCTTCATTCGCCATCTCGGCTACCGCGGTAAAATCCACCGGGCATACCTGGTGAGTTCCAGACGAGAATTTCGCAACGAAGTTTGCTAGGGGTTGGGCTTTGATGGTAGTTCAGGGTTGAAACTTGATGTCGAATTGCCCCAATTCGACTGCCCACTTCAGAATTCGACCGGAGAAATCCGCCCACTCAAACAAGGCTTTTAGAGGGAATTCAATCAACATGACGATTGTGTGAGCATGAAAATAATGCGTCAATTTTCGGGAGGCCATCATTAGCGCCAAAGCAAGTTTTTCCAGTGGTAAGTACCTCGACTCGGCTGGTAGCAGGGTTTTGCTCACGTAAAAGATGGGAAGGTGCTGGATGCCTTCTGCTCGATCTAGCACCGCACTAATCGCATGTTGAGAGACAGCAAGATAGATGTAGAGCTCTTCGCCGGGCTTAGGTGTAACCAATAGTGGGACGGAAGACAAATATGCCTTGAGCTCACCCAAGGCCTTGTCACATTCTTCATCCCATGAAAACTTGGACTTCAAAGCTCAAAAGAAAGGTCAGCAACGATCTAATGACCGGCTTATAAATCGATTAAGCGCGGCTGCCATATCGGCAAGATATTGCACGTCTTTTGTTGAGTTGGGCCGCTTCAATTCTTGTATGGCTCTGATTTGTGAGGGGTCCGCTTAGATGCCTTGGTTGGTGACTAAGAAGCCAAGGAATTTCCCTGACCCCACACCGAAGGCACACTTCGACGCATTCAGGCGAAGCTTATGTTGCTTAAGAATGGCGAGCATCTCGGCTAAGTCGGCCAAGTGGTCGGCCTGCAGCTTGCTCTTAACAACCATGTCATCGATGTAAACCTCCATCGTGCGGCCTAGGAGAGGGGCGAACATCTTGGTCACCATTCTTTGGAAAGTTGCCCCGGCGTTTTTCAAACCAAAAGGCATGACTCTATAGCAGAACAATCCCCTCGGAGTTGTGAAAGAGGTGATCTCGCGGTCGGGTGCATGCATGGCGATCTGGTGATAGCCGCGATAGGCATCTAGGAAACTGAGCTGGACCTTCGGACCTTCGATCATTTACACGAAGCCTTTGGCAGCTCGGCTCCCATTCACTGCCACGAAACATTGCTTCGACATGACTTGATCGCCCCAAATCTCCTCAACTTCCCCTATAGCCGAGGGGAACTTGGTGGTAGGTTGACGCTACTGCCTGCATAGCGTGAAGCCATCCCCTACCTAAGATCAAATTGTATGCAGACGGCACCTTTAATACCCAGAACTCCACCTGCTTGACCACGGATCCGGCTTTGACTGGTAAGATTATCTTTCCCATCGGCCACTCTGGTTGTGAGTTAAAACCAACTAGTGGCAGAGTTGCCATAGCCAAGTCCGTATCCCGGAGTTTGAGCTGCTTGAAGGCGTCGTAGTACATGATCTCAAGCGAGCTACCTTGGTCGATCAAGATACGCTTGACATCAAAGTCCCTGACGCGAAGGGTGACCACTAGGGCATCGTTGTGCGGCATTTGAATGCGTTCAAGGTCCCTAGATGAGAAGCTAATCACATCTTTCTCCTCAGTCTTGCCCCTTTTGATCGCGGGCTGGACTGACAAAACTTCCCTCATATGTTCCGCCTTTTTTATCATCCCTCGGAGTTCGCATACCTGTGTCGGCTCCACAATGCTGTGGATCACATTGACCTCTCCTTGAGGGGGCGCCTCTAGGTCATCCGAACCACATGGATCAGCCAGGGTGTGGTACGTGGCTCTAATGCCCCCATCGATGTAAAGGTCTAGGTGACCGGCTGCGACTAACTCCTTCAAGTGTTGCTTTAAGGGCAAACAGTCCTCTGTCCGGTGCCTTCACTCTCTATGGAATGTGCAGCGGTACCACGGATTGAAATTCTTTTGCGCATCGCCTAACTTAGCGGGAAACCGAACATAACCCTTGTCGCGAATTTCACTAAGTATGCGATAGATTGGAATTTTAAATACCGTGGTAATGCCCGTCCGAGCATTCAACTTTTTGTTCACATCTACTGCGTCATCGCGGGGATATTCTGCTCGGTTACTGTGGTGACCTTTACCCCGGCTTCTACAATCCGGACCACAGATTGATTCTCTTGCGCAGTCTCTTGGACGGTTTGTCTCCTGTTCGACCGCGTGTACTTTCCCAGCCACCCTTTTGTCCGTTGCCACCGGATTTGCCTTCACGGTGGATGCTGTCGCATCATCCTCCACTCGGATATGCTCATTGATGCGTTGCATCAGTTGCCCCATGGAGGCCGGTTGATTCATCTTGAGCAAGTCTCTCAGTCTATGTCCGACCGGGAGACCGCGCTTATACTAGGTGATTGCCAGGTTGGTCGAGCAATGTAGGATCTCGTTGAAGGTTTCCCAATACCTGGCGTTATATGCTTTGAGGGTGTCTCTTGACTCCATCTTGACACTTAGGAGGTGGTCCACTTCTTTCGGCGTCTTGGTGTTGGTTTTCAAATCAAGTCACGAATGCCTCCGCCAACTGCTACCACCAGTCGATGCTTTCCTCCGGGAGCCTCTCAAACCATTTCAAGCCCAACTCGCCCAAACTCGATGGGAAAATAAGGCACATAAGAGCATCGTTACGCCTGTGTCCAGCCATGACCTGCCGGAAGTGGCTTACATACATGTACGGATCGCTTTTCCCATCATAAAGCGTAAACTTGGGCTGGTGAAAGCCCGCTGGGAGTGGTGTAGTCTCTATCTCAAGGGAGAAAGGAATGGCATTCAGCTTTTCCAAATCCTTGTCCAAAGGGACTGGCACGGCTGAACGTGGTGGTGGCATCATGACTTCCTCACTGTCGTGACCTTCGTAAGATAACCGCTGGAGCGCCGGCACCCTTTGAACCTCCCGTCAGCAAGCTCGCTTCTTCAAGATGTCCCTCAAGTCCTCTGAACAAACGGAGTACGAATATTCAGATGTAGTCGAAGGATGTGAGGGAATGGTATGTACTATTTTGCACGCTAGACTTTTCTGTGGGAGGGTCTGAGTTTCTAACCCCATAGCTTCTAGTGATGGAAAGGGAGGGCGTGTGACGCTGGATCTGGCTGCCTGAGCGGCGGGGTTGGGGTTGGGTGCGCTCACTGTGGTCTCCCACTCCAACAACACCCTTCCCTTTGACTTTCCATTTGAGAGCTTTCATCTCTGCCGCCATTCTCTGGATGACGACATCTTGGTCCCTCAACTTGTGCTCCAAGCAGCGAGCATGCGGCTCCCTCCGCCGCCGGTGTCCGTCTGGGCTCCGTGAGTGACCAAATCTTCTGGTGCGCTTATCTCGTGTATCTCTTGGAAGTCCTCCTGGGGAAGTCTCCATGTCCGCCATGCTCGGAATGGCGAGGAGTCTGTCTCTCCGTCTGACCGACTCTGGGGTAACACCGTCGATGGCGGACAACGGTATTTCGTCGTTGTTTGCCATGGAAGGCGATCCAATGAGCTTGAAGGACAAGGTTGTGTATGCAAAAAGTTCCCACAAACGGCGCCAATTGTACGGGGAGCAAATATTCGATACTACCTGTACTCCTCGCGTCCAAGTTTCGATTCAATCCGATTAACCTGCGAATGCAATAGCGATGAGCTATCCGGTGGTGTGTTGCCGGAAAACCCCTTCGACGGTCAAGTTAGCATACACTCAGATAAAGAGAGAGGGAGAGGGAAAGGGAGAGCAGCAGACAAAGGGTTTTTCTCACCAAATGATTTTCCATCCCAGCATGGGGGCGCAGTCATGTTTATATACTTTCTGGGCTCACCTCTGCATCCATTCGCCTATTGACACGTAGAGCTACTCTCCTATCATGCTCTCCCACTTGTCAGCGTAAATTCAGCTAAACACCACCTAATCAAACCGTCACATGGCATTGGCGCGAACAGACAGCCCAGCGGCATCACCCCAGCCTCGTACGACCGTGCTACTTAACGAGTCCAACAGTGCCACACGCCGAGCTTCATCACAACCGAGCTCAGTAGCATTCTGGTATGACTGAGCTCCAGACAAGTTAGGCAGGTTCGCGGAAAACCTTTCCCCCCGACCTAAGTGTGCGAACAATAAAACCTGGGTTGACAGACGGTCATCTCGGCTAAATGGGCCCGGGACCTCAACCGAGCAAACCAACTCTGGGCAAGCCCAAGTTAGCTCGGCCCAAACACGCTCGGACCTCTTTCTACCCGGCCCAAAACCAGATTATGAATCTCCCTCTCATATATATTTATCAATCGACATATCAATTAATAGATGTATATTTCTAATCATTTGCTTTGAATTCCTCTAATCATTTCCCTCAAAATTTGTAATTATAATTAAGCTTTTGACTAGGTTTCAAGAGGTTTCCACGAACAACATATCCCTCAAAGAAACACCAATCGAGTTCGTTTCTATTCTTTTTTCCTTTTTTTTCCCCTCTTTTTTTATTAATCATATATTGATATCAATGAATATTAGATAATATCGACAAATATATTGATGAATATTATTTTTACATTTTGTCAGGAATGGAGAAGCTCGATGCCTAAAAGGAAGTATTCTAGTGAAAACCCTAGAAAACGAGCTACCAGATGGAACAATACGTTTTGGGTGTCAAATAATTGATGCCCAAATGGATCCATTAACTTCACTTCCAATTCTTCAACTTCATGATGGCACTGTAATCAAAGCTAAGGTAATTTTGTCTTACTTACATATGAAATTTGCATAGAAACGAATTCCAATAGATTAAAGAATACTCATGAGTGATGGTCTCGCCATAGAACCTATGGGATTATGCCCTTGTTAGTGTTTTGTACCTTTTTTTAGTAGATTCTAAAATTTGATCAATTAAGAAGCACATGATATAAATGTTATAATTGTTCTCACATCTAAGACTGTTCAGCTAAAAATGTAATTTGATTAATTAAGAAACATATAATATAAATATAATAGTTTTCTCACATCTAAGACTTTATTTGGCTTAAAATGTCACACTTCTTATAAAAAAATCGTCTTTAGTGAAATTTTTAAAAAATTGTTTACCTTTTTTTAAAATTTTTTTTTTGGATCTAATCTAGAAGAATATAAGGAAAAAAAAAAAAAAAAACTTTTTAGGTAATTAGGAGACTCTAAAAGTGAAAAGTGATTGGAAAAATTTTGGATTTTTTTTATTTTTTATATTAAAGATGAAAAATAACAAAGAAAAAGGGTTAAAAAAGAATTGTACATGGACTTTATTTATGAGATTTAATACGAATTAAATAGAGAAAGATTAAAATTTACAATAGAAAGTTGAATGTCACATTGAAAATTAAAACAATCGAACAACTTAAGTATAAAAAATAATAATCACTATGCTTGGTATATTTATGTTAGATATGTCTAAAAATTAAAAAAAGTGCTCAAAATATTAAAAAAAAATTGGTAAAAACAAAAAAACACGAAAAATAAGAAAGTAGAATTGGTTATCATTTTTCAAAAATACTTTTCAGAAAATTCTACTTTCTTATTTTTCATGTTTTTTTGTTTTTACCGAATTTTTAAAAATATTTTGAGCAATTTTTTTAATTGTTAGACATACCTAACATAAATATACCTAAAAAGTAAAAAAAAAAAAAAATTGAAACTTTTTTTTTAATTAATTTTCTGAGATCCAAAGTGACCGCTTCTCTAGTTTGTGCCCGAAACCGGCCCTAGTGTAAGGTTGGAATGTTTGGTTGTGGAGATGAGGAAAAAGAAGCACTCAAAGAGTGATGTATGATCTTTTGAGTCGGTCTTGGTCCCTTTTATCACTAAATTGTATGCTGGATTTACAAAAATACCACCATGATAGAGATTTTGGTCAGATTGGTTTCTAAAGTAGTGCAATTTGGTGAGAGCATGACACATTCGCATCAAGTGGAGGTAGCCAAGTCATATAATTAATTCCTTCATTTTATATGGGCAGTTGGAAAAGCCAACTATACAAGTAATTATTTACTTAGCCTCCGTTTGGGAAGTGAGTTGGCTTTTTGGCTTTTTGACTTTTTTAGCCTGGGCTTAAAAGCTTGGTTTGGGAAGGGCTTTTTAGCTTTTTTGAGTTTTTTTGTGAGAGAAGAATGTAATGATTATGGGTTGGATGTGATGTTTTGTTTGTTATGGCTAAAATAGCCTATTTTGTTTTTTGTGGCTAAAACAGCCAAAAAAACCTGCAAACCCACTTGCCAAACACAGGCTAAATTTTATGTTTGGAAATTAAAGTAGATCTTCGAATTGACAGTTTCCTAGGCTGTATATATCTCTCATTGGGGGACTATAAGTCCCTTGGGGAAGTAAGATACACATTGGGAAGATTAAAAGAATTTGAATTAAAGGGTTAAAAGATTAAAATGCCTTCTACTATAACCATTACATTATGTGAGCTATGTCTAGTGATTCCGAACAATCATATGACAGAATAAAATTCTACTAACCCCCTTTCCCCATACAAAATCCTAAATGATTAATAATTTAATACTAATAATCACATATAATCTAGTCTAATGAAACAGACACGACTTATCTGCATAAGAAAGTGCAAAGAAAAATTAATATGTGATCAAGGTTGATTACTAGTGTCATCTCCACCATATTTGGAATGAATTTATA